GAATAATCTTAACAGTGTCATGAAGGAAAGGTATCTTGGTGTAATAGTCGATCAGTCTCTAAAGCCATCCAAACAGTGTGCTGTTGTTAGTGGTAGGGCAAATAGGATTTTAGGTTGTATCTACAGAAATATTGAAGACAAGTCTAATGAGGTTATACTTTCATTGTACAGATCAATGGTTAGGCCACATTTGGAATATTGTGTTCAGCCTTAAGCTCCTTACTGTAGAAAAGACATCGAATTGTTGGAAAGGGTTCAGAGAAGGGTTACGAGAATGATGCCTGGGATGGAGGGGTTGTAATATGACGAGAGGCTGAAATCTCTCAAATTGTTTCTCTTGAAAAAAAAAGAAGAGTTTCGAGGGATCAGATTGAGGTGTTTAAGATTGTAAAGGGAATTGATAGTGTTGATACATCCTCTTTTTTCATATTTAACAATGAGAATAGTAGGACTAGGGGATACAAATATAAATTTTGGCAAGGTAGGAGCCATCTTCAGCTAAGACAGTTTTATTTTTCTAACAGGGTGGTTGGCCTTTGGAATGGGTTGCCTTCAGATGTTGTAGTGGCAGTAAATTTAAGTGAGCTTAAGAAAAAAGCTTGATAAATATATGAATGAAAAGGGGTTGCATTTAAAATTTTATTATTATTATTATTATTTTAATTAAATGTAGAGGATGGAACAGCCGAGATGGACCAATAGATCCCATGTTGTTCCAAAACTTTATGTTATGTTAAGCTGTTTAGGATAAGCAATTATTATTATTTTTTAATCATTTTATTTAGTTTTGGGAATGGAACAGCCGAAATGGACCATTAGGTCCCATGTTGTTCAAAAATATTGTGTTATGTTATATGTTAAAAATTATTTTATCCAAGTACATAAAACTTCGGGTTTTGTTTTCATATGACCCACGAGCTATGAAAAATCTCAACTTTTGCACTCTCAATCTTGTTTAAGGTAACACCAGTCATATAGATGTACATCTTGACAGTAAGTATGTTGACATCTATTGCCCTATTGACATCTGAGTTTCAAAATTCTCTGGCTGAATGCAGTAGAAATAAGTAATAATTTTGTCAACCCTTGATGGGTGCTATTCCCACCTCTTATACTTTTGCTTGCATTTTATAACATACATATGTTTTCTACATATACATGTGTATAGTCATTAGAAAGAGATCATTTTACATTTTAATCCAACAACAGTTATTTTGAAATTCGCACATAGTTGTTGTAATCTGATATATGTAACTGGCTGTATTTTTTTTTTAGGTAAATATGTTATAGTTAGAGAGACAGTTAAATTGTATTTAGGTCTTACTTTGATATCTTAGTTAATTATGTATTTTTTAGGTTTTAAAATGCATAATCGAAAGGTTTAAACATTTTTTAAATATACATCATACTTCCATCAGTCCTCAAGATCTTGCGTGAGGGTAAGATAATTTTGCCGTAGGCATGTTCATATCTGTTCAAAATGCTGTAATTACAGCCTGAGGGCACAGTTGACTTGTGCCAAGATGATTAGTAAAAGGTAAAGGAAGGAAAGGAAAATAAAGCATTAAAAATTAACTATATGTGAAAAGGAAAAGACCTGAAATTATGAATATAACTAAATAAAGATCTTTTTTGATATTCTATAAAAAATTAAAAGGTATGTAAATTATTTTCTATTTCTTAATTTTAAACATTTCATTACATTGAGTGTTGATGATAATATGTACAGTTAGTAATAAGGTAGAGAAAATGAAAAATATAATATAATCATTTACCTTAAATAAACTGTTGATATTTATTTAGGAGCTTATGCAAATAAAACTAAAAAACTGTAAGATGAGAAAAGTATTTTTGTATTTAAACCAAAATCACCTTGCACACAAACTATTAAGAGTTTGAGTGCAAATAACTCTAATAGATAAATAACATATTTTTAACAGAAATAATTAATTAAAATCTTACCTGTTTCTGTGAGGATACTTTAAGAAATCTCAGAGGTACATGTATTGTTGCACTCTTATCATTCCACAGCTGGGGTCATGTATCTTACATGATCCCACTGAGAAAGAGTTATAGGAAACTTGTATAATTCATTGAATGTTTGCATCAATGAACTGTAGACTGGTTTTATTACTAAAAATATTGTGAGGTTTTATATACATATATATATATATGAAGTCCTTAAGAATAGTTCTCTCATTTGAATTATTAAGAAAGTTTGTTGATGTCATTATTATTTTTCACAAGTTTAATATTAGTCTAATAAATGTTCTCTATTTATGAGAAATGCTTTCAAGTGGGTTAGTGTTTACAAGTTTCTAACCAGAAGAGTGAGGATGATTTTAAAAGAACCATCATCAACATAATTAACAAATTAGAGGTCCATTTACTGACTTTCAAGGGTGTTTATAAATGAATGTCATTTTATGAAAAGTTATCTAAATAAAAGTAGTCCTTTTAAATATTTTACTTATGTATTATTTGATAAACTTAATTATTTAAAACTTAAGTTCAAGCAGTTTCAAACAGTTTTTATAAGTTTTATGTATTAGATGATTAAGTTTGATTAAAAAAATATATACTTCATGATTATTGTACACACTATTTTACAGTTGATCAATGAAATCTATAATTATTTCATTAATAGTTTTGGTCATTATTATTTCTTTTAAGCATTCATTTTATACCTAGCTATCTCAATAGTTTGAGTTTAAGAATGTTCTGTTGTATTCCATAGGCTTTTTCTTCATGCAGACTTTTTATTCTTACAGCTAAAGTTCCTACAAAGGTGAGTTTAGCAAGTTTTACCCTGAATTGTAGTCTTTATATGTTATAGCACTGGGGTATACTAAATTTGTTTTTGGGAAAGCAACATAAAAAGATTTCATGTGCTTAATGGGCAATATCAGTGGAAAGAACTATATAAACCTATCTACCATTATACTGTTAATATCATAACCGTTTCTTGAGAAGCTACTCAATGTGTATTCTTAAGGATAACTATATACAACCTTATAACAATCGAATGCACTACAAACAACATTATGGCTATTTTAACTTGTTGTGTATGTGTTATTGTAAATGCATGTAAGTCAGTGTTTACTCATAAATGGCAGTATTTATTCTTACACACCCATGTGTGCATGTACAAGATGTTGGGTCTTTCTTTAAATTTAATTACACTGATGCATCACTTTTTATATATAACCTATCAAAGATTGTTGATTGTCAGCAAATTTGATTTCATATTAGCTTATTATTTTTTAGCTGTTATTCTACAGAAGATATGTACTGTTGTAGGCTGTTTTTCAATTTAAACATTTGCATTGTTGGACAGAATTTTGATGTCACATTAATGAGTGTGGCTAATTTTATTGAAAGTTTAGGAAATGACTTGAGTAGTATAAAAATATAATTTTGAGATAAGGTGATGGTTGATTATTAAGTTAATGAGTTTGTCAGTCAGTTTATCTGTTTCTTCTGGGAAGGCAATAAAACATTTTTGTATCATCAATGGGCAATATTAGTTAGTGGAAAGAATCACATAAACCTATCACTTTACTGACTGTTTAATGTCTGTTTATTGTCAGTTAGTTCAGTTTTGTAAATATTGAGATTTTGTTTCAATAAGGAAATGATTCAATAAGTATTAAGAGAAAATTAGCAAATAAGTGCATTGTTGTATTAGTGTTACTATAAATTTAAGCTTATCAGTGAGTATTAGTTAAGCTAAAGAAATACATCATGGTAGAAAAAAATGGTCTGCTGTTATTAAGTTGACTAGACTTTTCATTATTTTTACCAAATAATCCAAAACAATCTGCCCAACCACAGAAACAGTTACAAGCAATTACAACACTAGTGTTAGGAGTGGGGATTATTGTGACAAAAATAAAATGCAAACTGAAATTCAGGGTGATAACATGTGCTTGAAACAAGATTGAAGATTTGCAGGAAATGACAAAACTGTGGAAAGAAGCTTAAGAAGAAAGAGACAGGATTGTAGAGAGGAATTAAAAGAGTAAGAAATAACATTCAGGGAAGAATTACAAATGGAAATGAATTTGATTAAAGTCAAAATCATAAAAGCCATAGGACATATACATGAGGATTATAAAAAAATCGAAAAGTGCAGTAGAAAAACTTCACTGAACTTGTTCATTTGAGGATGAAACTTTAATTTGCTAAAGTTGAAGATAATCAACTAGATACATCCTCCAGGAACTATGAGATCATTAGATCACATAGGGCTCACCCACCCTACTTGTTATTTTGCCAAAATTAATATTAGGCTAACATTTCAAAAATAAAATCAGTATGTCAAGATTTTGTACTGCTCAATATTGATCATGCCTATTTACAATTACCAATAAATATCTATGACAAAAGTTGAATAAGTACCTTTATTGTGCTGTCAGTAATGCAGTTCCCAACTTGTGTGGTCTGATCAAAGATTTATAGACTGCCTAGATGTTTATATAGCCAACTACTGCACTGCTTATATTTTTTGATCATGCAAGTTTGGTTATTAGTGTCATTCTACAAATGTCACACTAGCATTGAATTAGAAATGAAGTATAGGTTGAATTGCCTGATGTCAGTATCAGGCACACCTAAAGGACTTGGAATTTTTTTAAGTTGATATATTTTAACTGTTTGTTATAGTTCCTTTCCAAATTGTAATATGTAATGCAGATTTAGATGGATATATATATATATATTATGATTATGAATATCAGTATGGTATGGCTAAAAGGTATAGTAGTATGGAAACAACAACTCCATCTGATGGAAGCCTAGAAAAACTCAAAAGAATCAGACAACTTGGAATGGAAGAAATAAACCATAAGACAGAATGTGTTTTAATTGCAACTTAAAGGTTATATTGTCAGGAGCAGCTAATAAAATATTTTAATTAGGCTACTTTTACTCAGGATAGAAGTAGTAAACCATGAGGTAGAAGGAATTTCCTTTGCAACTTAAAATGACATATTGCCAGGAACTTCAGAAAATTTTTTTTTGGAAATAGAAACTGTTTCTGAAGGATGACAAGAAAAGGGAACATGGACATTACATTTGAGACTGTGATATACCAGGGAAGCATTTGGGGCATTTTACACTATTTTCAAATGCTTCAAGAAAAGAGGAATATAATTTTATAAAATTCCATGTGTGATATTCCTACATGCAATATGAAGAAAAATTGGACATATTTAATGAATGCATACAAGAAGATACACAACAATGCTTCACCAAGAAAATAAATGTATATGTCAAGTACAGATTAAGATGCATTCCAGGAGGTATGGAGAATCAGTTGTTTACGTTATCTATAAACTGATGCCACCACAGCAGAGAGAAAGCTATGAGAAAAGTTTATATTATAAGTTCATTAGAGACTGTACACAACTTCCATTATAGGAATTAGTAAAGAAAACAGAAAGTCTTGGTGGAACTTTGATCTGAAGAGGACGAGGAGAAATACATGCAAATAGGCTGTCAATTGTTGAATTTTAATTACAAGGATTACAATGAGTCAACAAAATTCATCCAATTAAGTGACAGATCTACTTGCAAGTTGGATGTGTACATTACTTGGAGAATCATAAGAGTACTAAAGAAATGTGTATAAAAACCTATGTTTTGAGGCTAAAAGTCTGTCTCCTGGCTGAAGAAAGTGAATATACTGCTGCTGGTTGAAAAGCTGATACTGCCTGATTCCAGAACAACATTGACAGTGTCTGTGCTGCAAGATACCAACATTTCCAACTCAAGCTCTATGTAAATAATGAAGTAAGTTGAATGTATTGCGAATTAATGAAGTTATGTCTGAGCAGATTTAAATCAATGTGTTAATTGATAACTGATTGGTAGTATTAAGTAATTTAATGGATTGAAGAATTTAATAGTTTTAACAGTGAAGCTTTTTAGCTAGGATACCTTTGGTAATTGTGATGTAGCCAAGTATCTTAATATATTGTATTAAAGTGTTGTTTGTGTTTCAAATCTTAGTCTCCAAGTTAATTCTTTATTCTAACTGTAAACTTCCTTGAGTCAGTGACTTGTGTACTCCACTTGTGATTGTACAACCTGGATTTTAAACATATTTATTGTTAACTGGATTAAGTTGAACTCCAAAGGCTAGACTACAAAGCATCCACGTTACATCAGTCCTTGCTAAAACAAGGAAATGGTATGTTGAAGATGAGAATAATTCATCTGTCCCAAGTGAGGTAATGAGTTCATTATTTAAAGAAACCTGTCCAAGGGTGAAAGGATTAATTGAGAGGAAGCTTTGCAACCTGTTGAACACTGGTTCTATAGTTACCTCTGCTTGACCTGATATGATAATAAAACTAGAGAATTGTCTACAGAAATTAAGTAAGATTGTCGTAAAAAATTTGTTTGATATATCAATGCTTCCTGGTGGGACAGCGGTAACTCTACAGACTTACAACTTTAAAATCCAACATGTTGTTTTCCTAAAACTAAACTTTGTTAGAAGACTCTTAGGATTATCAAGTCCATTGCTTACGAACTGGACCTCTTGTTAGCATGCACATTGGCTTCTACATTCATTCCTGTTGTCATTGGCATCTCGACTTTCATAGTGGATCATAGTTTTGCTCCTATTCCTATTCCTTCAACATCAGCCCCTCGTTCCATTGGTACCTAGAATAGATTCTGTCCATATCCAAGAAGAACAACTGGCAATTTGGTCTCCTGTATCTTACCCTCGGGCTTTGGGAGTATATGAATTACGTTAAGATGGGATTACACCTGTAGGCCTTCCTACTGATTTGTATGTTATCCAAGATACTAGCTATGATTTGTTCCAACCCATTGTTGGGTCCTATTGATAGCACTGGATTGGTGGCTAAATTTTGGTTTCTGCTTCTGTGGTACCTTGAGGTGCATCTTGCACTTCCTCTTTGGCTACCCCTGTTGAGGCAGCCATGATCTAACATCTTACATTCAACTGTCCTTTCCATGGTGTCTGAGTTTATTTTCTAAGGTTGTCTTGTATCTCTCAGTCTTATTTTAGTCCCACAATGGACATTTATCAATGGAAATGGCACTCATATCGGCAATGGTGAATTGAGAGGAGGTTGAACCCACTCCATTCAGAAATGACATCCATAGCTCATTTTTTGACCTACCTCATTGGCTAGGGTTTTGCATCTTCCACATCTGTAAGATGGCCTTATTGACTACCATTTGATACTAAAGATAACATTTCTTTGAGTCTCCAATACTCTCCTGCTTTCTCAAGTCACTTTGGGTCCTTTGTCCCAAACAACCATTCCTGTTACCTAACTGTTATATTAAGGTTACATAACAGGCCCTTTTTCAACACCTGTTGTGACCTTAGTCTCATGTACCACCTTTCCCTGAAGGTTTATTTAATGTTACAGTATTTGCATTGGATAATTCCAAAGAATATGAATTTGCAATACTGTAGGTAGGTATTTCAGATTATATTTCAAATACTTTTAGGTATATTGGGAAGTACTACATGTGTGACCATTCAGTAATCATTTGCCATAGTTTTTTTTTCATGTTAACCCTACAAATACAGGCTGGGTGGAATCCATGCAACCTCTAACCACAAAAGTATCCGTGAGAGTATTTGTACTATAATTTTTGATAACGTTCATGAATATTTATAAACAATTTGCAGATTATTAGTAAACTTTACAAGGCTTTCTTATACAAAATATCAAGTTTTTAAATTAAGTATTAAGATTTCTTTAAAGATTTGCTTGTGAAATTTTTCTTTCAGAATGTTGACAATTCAATGTGCAAAGTAATTTTGATTTTATCTGCAATATATCAAGTTTCATTTACATAATCTCTATATCCTTCTAGATTATTATCAAATTTTTTTTTGATAAAACTTTATATTTAATCTATTATTTCATCAATATTAACTTTATATTG